GTTGGAATGTGAGCAGGTTAATATGTAGTGAAGGGATTCAGGGAAACCGGTTATTTTATATAGCCAGACTTGAGTCCTGGAAATGGGAAGTACAATGCCTGCACTCTAAAGGAGGGGTTTGGGATATTGGCGGTTTGGAGGGATATATTGTGTATTTTTATACGTATATACTTCTAAGCTGTTGTATTCTGAGCACCTCTGTAAAAACAGTGATTATGTGCGAGTGAGGTGAAAGTGTTGAATGAAGTTGAAAGTATTTTCTTTTTGGGGATTTTCTTTCTTTTCGGGTCACCCTGCCTCCGTGGGAGACGGCCGACTTGTCAAAAAAAAAAACAGTATGTGTATATATATATATATATATATATATATATATATATATATATATATATATATATATATATATATATATATATATATATGTCGTGCCGAATATGTAAAACTGGTCAATTAGCAAGAACTCATTTAAAATTAAGTCCTTTCTGAAATTTTCTTTTATACGTTTAAAGATATATTTTTTTCATTAATGTTAATGTAAAAAAATTTAATTTTGCACCAAAAGAATCTTAGAAAACTTACCTAACCTTATTATAACAAGAACAATTTATTTTAGCCTAACCCAACTAAATATATTTTAGATTTATTTACAGTAATTTAATACTAAACAAACACAGTGAAATATATTTTTTTCATAAGGTTCAGAATGATTTTGGCGAAATTATTGCATACACAAATTTTCACTTGTCCTATATGGCAAGATGAGCGTTGCTATTTAAGCCAAGATCACAAGTTCTGCCTATTCGGCACGACATATATATATATATATATATATATATATATATATATATATATATATATATATATATATATATATATATATGCTAAAAGGTCCATCCTTGCTGGGTCATCTCCTCCTCTCTCTCATGTAGTTCTCCATTTTCTGGTCATCCAAGTCGCTCCAGGTTTAACCAGTCAAAATCCTTGTTGATGAAATCCCCCTGAACCAGAAATTTTGGTCTGCTCATGTGTGGCCCTTTTGGCCACCTTAGCTAGTGTGTCCATCATTATTGCTCTGTTGCTTACATTATACTTCTGTCTTGGCCTCCTGCTATTCCATGGTGGGTTGTACATCACTACATTCCCACCTTGGGACCCCAGTCTGAAGTGTTCCCATTATGTATTTTCTTGCCTCTGTCCATTCCTCTCAACTTCTCAAAACTCCACTGGGCTCTGATGAGCAGTAGAACTCTCCCTTTCCCCTATGCTCCCTTTATCTTTCATCAGGATGTGATATTCGGTTGGAACGATTGCATCTGTTATCCCCATGAGATTTGTTTGCATGAGAGCTATGGTGACTGGGGATACCTTCGTACCACTCCTCACATTTTCATGTTATTCTGTGTAGGTGTCCAATACCTTCACTTTCTTTTCCAATACTGTATTCGTAAGGAGGGGGGGAAAGGATTTTTTTTGTACAGGCTGGGAGTGAGTGACTGGGCAGGATTCTGTGAGAAGCTGCTGTTGACGTAGGGTTTGTGTGTAGAGGGAAGGGGTTGTGAGTGCAGAGTGTTGAATGTTTTGGATTATTGTGTATGGTTTCGGTGGGGTGGAAGGTAGTTGTAGGGGTAGCTCTGTAGTTGGTTGTATTCGCTGGTTCTCCCAAGTCTGGGCTTTGCTGCCTGTCTCTAGCTATATCTCTGTTTCTTGTCCCTTGCATCTCTGTTCTCTTTCTCGGTTTCTCTCATTTGTGTTTTGATGAGTTCTTATACATGATTTATGCTACAAGATCCTGTATTAAAAATGACACAAATTATTTGAATTTTTGATCGAAGAGGCAATTAATGACATTCCCATGCACTCTGCAACGGGCCCAGACTCATGGAACTCTGTGTTCATCAAGAACTGCAAGAAGCCCTTGTCACGTGCCTTCAGCATTCTATTCAGAGGGAGCATGGACACAGGGGTCATCCCACACTCACTAAAAACAACAGACATGGCCCCACTCTACAAAGGTGGCAGAAAAACAATTGCAAAGAACTACAGACCGATAGCACTAACATCCAATATCATAAAAATCTTTGAAAGGGTTCTAAAAAGCAAGATGGCCAACAACCAAGATATCCATTAGTTACACAACCCAGGGCAACACAAGTTTAGAACAGGTTGCTACTGCCTGTCCCAGCTACTGGTCCACTATGACAAGGTCCTGGATGCTTTGTAGGATAAACAAAATACAGTTGTAGTATACACACAATATGTGAAAGCCTTCGACAAGTGGGACCACCGTGTACTAGCGCACATAATGCGTGATAAAGGAATAATGGGAAAAGTTGGTAGATGAATCTACAACACAGAGTAATATTGAACACAGTAAAGTCTTAGGCAGTTACGGTGAAAAGCTCTGTTCCACAAGGCACAGTACTTGCTCCCATCCTATTCTTCATCCTCATATCTGACATAGACAGAGATGTAAACAATAGTTCAGTGTCTTCCTTTGCGAGTGACACCCGAATTGCCATGACAGTGTCCTCCATTGAAGACATCACAAGATTCCAAGCGGACATCAACCAAATGAACCAATGAAAAGAAATTTCATCTGCTCAGATATGGAAAACTTAAGGATATTAAAACTGTATCAAGGTATACAACAAATTCTAACCACACAAAAACTAGCATAAAGGACCTGGGAGTGATAATGTCAGAGGATCTCGCCTTCAAAGACCACAACAATGTATCTACCTCATTTGCTAGAAAAATGATGGATAATAAGAACATTCAAAATTAGGGACGCCAAGCCTATGATGATTCTCTTCAAATTGCTTGTTCTTTCTAGGCTGGAATACTGCTGTACACTAACTGCTCTTCAAGGCAGGCGAAACTGCTGACCTAGAGATTGTACAGAGAACTTTCACAGCACACATAAGTACGATAAAGTTCCAAAATTGCTGGAAATAGTTGAAATCCCTTGATTTGTATTTCCTGGAATGCAGGCGAGAAACATACATGATAATATACACTTTGAAATTCCTAAAGGGATTAGTATTAAACTTGCACACGAAAATTACTCCCTATAAACGCAAAACACTCAGCATGAGATGCAATATTTCCTTAATGAAAAGCAAGGGTGCCAAGAGTAAGCTGAGAGACAACACAATAAGTGTCAGGGGCCCAAGACTGTTTAACTGCCTCCCAGCATACATAAAGGGGATTACCAGTAGATCCCTGGTTTGTCTTTAACAAGGTGCTGGAGAGGCACGTAAAGTCAGTACGTCTCCAGGTTCTTGGATCCCTGGTCTTCGTCAATGAGTCGGCTGAAGAAGTGGGGTAAGAGGGAAAAGTGAAGGTGGGATGGGTGTGGAAAGCAGGGCGAGATTTTGTGATAGGCTTCTGTGAGGCGTGGTAATCCTACTGTGAGGGGGGACTGTGGGTGTGGAGTATGGTATGTTTTAGGTTATTGTTTGGTTGGGCGGGGGGCTGAAGGTTGAGGGGGATGTTCTGTGTCTAGTCCTTTCAAGGCTATGCTTCCTTGCCTGTCTCTCCTTCCTGCCTTTGGTGTCTTTGTACTTTCTCAGTTGCTTCCGTTCCTTTGTTGTTCTGTCATAATGGAGGTATGTCTGGTGGAGTCTCTTAACCATTGTTTCTGCTGCATGATCCTGTTTCATACCATTTCTGTTGTGGTTGTCACTTTGACCGGACGAATTTTTCTCCTCGGCTACACCCTAGTCCAGTGGTATTCATTGCGCGGCTCGCGATGACTCAGTTCACGGCTCTCGAAAAATATATAAATTAATTAATAAAAAAAAATATATAGAAAAATAATTTTTCAAGTAAGATACATATTTTCATGAGGTGAGATGGAAGACGCAGTCACAGTAAGAGATAACATTCTAACATCCCTACCCTAGTAGTATAGAAATCATACGTGTCCACTACGGGAAACTGATCAGGGACACGTCTAGCTCTAAGCGTCGGTGGTCTCGCTGAATCAGTTGAGTTCAAGATTTCGGGGGAGACTGGACGTATTTCGTTACTCTTGGAGATTTGTGTTTGAAAATAGGCAACAGATATTTGAGACTGCGGCAACATATATGAAAGTAACGACTTAACTGTTGCTGGTTGTGGAAGCTAGCTGGGATGGGCTAGTTTTACTTGAAACCAAAGTGCAGTCAAGTAGTGTCCGTTATGATGGATCGATTTGTGGTTAAACAAAAACGCAATAGTGTTGAACAGCCATCCCAGACCCGACCAGTAGAAAAGGAGCATTAAGTAAGTGTGATCTTTATTTTGCATTAATAACAAGATATGCAGCTAATATTACCATGTCTAATTTTTCTCATTTACTATATTGCACTAGCAGCTCAGTACTACTTAATTTAGTTGAGTTACGCTAACTTGCAGTAGCTGCGGCTCTCTCAATCAATGTGTTTAACCGAAGTGGCTCTCTTGCAAAAATTAGTGAATAACACTGCCCTAGTTTTTGGAAACTTGTCTCCTGAAACATGTCCTTCTCTCTTAATGAGAAAATGTTTTTAATCTCTGTTTTTCTCCCCCCTGGATTGTTTATCTTATTGTTTAGCCTTTTCACCACACTTGTTCCATTGTGCTCTTAAGCCCTTTTGCTCATGATTTCTTCTCAAACCTATCCATGTGTGTGTGTGTGTGTACTCATTTATTTGTACTCACTTATTTGTGGTTGCAGGGGTCGATTCATTGCTCCTGGCACGCCTCTTCACTGATCGCTACTAGGTCACTCTCTCCGTGTTTTGTGTGTGTGTGTGTGTGTGTGTGTGTGTGTGTGTGTGTGTGTTTTGTGTGTGTGTGTGTGTGTGTGTGTGTGTGTGTGTTTGCGTGTGTGTGTGTCTATGTAATCATGTGGAGATATGGAGGATGTCTTCAACAGCCTGAGATAATCACCGAATAATTTTGCAGATTTTCTGAGTTAGAAAGTTTGTATTTACCACTTATACGAACCAAGTAATAACACTTTCCTTCTCCTGCGTCAGGTGAAGGCTTTACTGAAAAGAACGTGGGAGCGTCTTCAGGAGCGTCGAACCCCGCGGGGGGTGCGGGGACCAAAGGCTCTCCACAGCCGCAGCTTCTCTACCGTGCAGACAACTCTGCTAGACCCCAGTCCTGCCACCCGCCGCAACTCCTCCATCGTTTCCATTTGTGTTAGCAACCAGCCTTTTCGTCGCACCAGCAGCGGAGCAAATGCCAGCCAGTTACTGAGTCTCCATGGGTCCAGGAGCAGCATTGCACATCCGTCTCCCGTAGACAGTGGACGGGCTACAACCTCCCTTATGTCACCCAGACTAGTGGCAAGTGCATATGGACTGGAAAGCTCGGAACGATTTGGGTCATCCAAGAGTCCGGTACATAACTTAGACTCCAGTCCAATAGCAAGATCCCTAAGTCTCTTCGAAGAAGTCGAGGACGAGACGAAAAATGTGGAAATTAACAAGTTTCCCCAGCTTGAGCTAGCCACAAAAGCTGAAGAGAAAGTGCATCTGTCCCCTGTTGCAGTATTTAGAAACGATAATGTAAAGCCGTGTGTAAACATCATTGTAAACGGTCAGTTACAGGGACACAAGACCAGTGAAGATCAAGGTTATGAATCCTCTCACAATGTTGGTGCAGTTGACGAGTAAAGGTATTAAGACTAGTTTCTTCAGTGAAGGATATCCATGAAACTTTTCCGTGTAGGAGACGTCAAATATTTTCACATACAGTAAGTTATTATCAAGTCAAATTATTACCACGTCAATATTATTATCAAGTCAAAGTTTATTATGTGAACTTTCATCACGTACCTGTGTTTTGTGTCCACAACTTGAAATTAATATTTGACGTGTAATATAGATGTTCGTCCTTATCTCCGTCGTAAACATATCTACATTATCAGTCCTCCATAATGATGTTTAGTGCTCTAGAACGTCTGGGTTCTTCATCTGATCACATTTAATGGCTTTTATAGTGATATATAGAACTTGTGGAGCAACTCACCTAGCCATACTTCCCAGACCTGCATGAACCTCATCTCTTACTCCTGATACTCCTGTGAAATTATTCGTATAAACTTTAACTTATTTATCATGATTATTAATCTTAGTTTTCACTTACTATCTGGAAGGGTTTTCCTCACAATACCGTTGTCATTATACTGATAACTTTTATTACTCTGACAATTCTCACATTGTATTGATATTTCTCTATTACACAAATAATTCTTTCGTTATATAAGCAGTTTCTTCATTATACGAAAGATTCTCATATAAATGTTCTCATTAAACGGACAACTTTCATCATATATGTGAACATTGACTTCATTACATTATTATAATCACTTAACATCAATATAATGTTTGGCTTATATTTAGATGATGATTTTATATAAAAGTTGTTTTAGTTTCCATCAATAATCTCTACGAAACAGTTAATTGTGTTTGACAATAGCCAGGATAAAATTCTTCAATTACCTTACCAATACAGTAACTAACAGGTTTTTTTTCCAGCATTGGAGCTATTATGGTTGGATCAGGTTTTTTTTTCTGCAATTCTATGGTTGTCAAAAATTTTTTACTGCACACGTGTAATGTAAAAAAGGCGCTGTTGATAAATAACTTTTTTATGGTTTAAATTCACTTATTTTTCAAATCTGACGTTCTAATTGTGACTTTGGTTCTAAATTTCATCTCCTATTACTCGAAAGTTTCAATACTATATGTAATAAAACACTAGGAGAGTAAATATTTTATTTCACGTTGTTTATAGATTTATTTCAACCGGTATTGTCAGAGGAATTTCCCAGACTTTCCAGCACATTTCCTGTACATTTATGTGTTCCTACTTTTCCTGTTTCCCGTCCGGAGCATTTCAAGAAAAGAGGCTTCGGGGTGAGGCCTTTTTTCCAGCTATGCTCAAATATGTTGTCATGTAAATAGGTAGAAAGTGCTTTAATACATTAACAGATTTGGTAAAAGTTATTCACAATATAATTATATCTTGGAGGTAATTTTCCCAGTTTATGTACGCACGCATACACACACCAATATATATATATATATATATATATATATATATATATATATATATATATATATATATATATATATATATATATTGCGCAAAACAACCACTCTGAAAGAACAGAGAAATTCCAAGCGCTTTCGTGACTATTCACATTATCAAGGAACTTGATAATGTGAGTAGTCACGAAAGCGCTTGGAATTTCTCTATTCTTTCAGAGTGGTTGTTTTGCATATTCTGAAATCACCTGTTTACTGTGATCTTATTGCGTATATATATATATATATATATATATATATATATATATATATATATAATATATATATATATATATATATATACAGTAGACCGCTATTTAACACGTTAGTTACGTTCCTGAAAGCACCGTGTTAGGTAAAATCGTGTTAGTTGAACTGAAGAACTTATGGGAAAAATAGAGTTGCCTTCCTGAGAGCCCCAAAAAAGCCAAAAAACTTTTTTTTTTCAAACCTCCACATCTTACAAAAATAAAAGTGAATATATAATTGTAGTTCATTGTTATGATGTATTATGTTGTTTTTACTGCTTAAAACTACAAATGTAACAAAAATAATAGCCTTTCTTAAATTGTGGATTCTGGTGTTTTGTGGATGATTGTGAAGAGATTGGACAGTTATGTTGTGGTGCTACTGGGCTGAGGAGGATGGTAGAGGTTCTGGTACTGAGGTTGATGGTTCTACTGGAGTGTCTAACTTTGTCATTCAGTCAATCAAGTCATTCAGTAAGTCTGTCAAGTCATTCAGTAAGTCAGTCAAGTGATTCAGTAAGTCAGTCAAGTGATTCAGTAAGTCAGTCAAGTGATTCACTAAGTCAGTTAAGTGATTCACTAAGTCAGTCAAGTCATTCAGTAAATCAGTCAAATCATTTAGTAAGTCAATCAAGTCGTTCAGGAAGTCAGTCAAGTGATTCACTAAGTCAGTCAAGTCATTCAGTAAATCAGTCAAGTCATTCAGTAAGTCAGTCAAGTCGTTCAGTAAGTCAGTCAATTCATTCAGTAAGTCAGTCAATTCATTCAGTAAGTCAGTCAGTCACTCATTCAGTAAGCAGTCAGTCAAGTCAGTCAGTCAGTCACTCATTCAGTAAGCAGTCAGTCAGTCAGTCAGTCACTCATTCAGTAAGCAGTCAGTCAGTCATTATGTCAGTCACACAAACTTATGTTTACCTATTTTTTATGTGTACAAAGTAACAATTCATTATGGCCACAGGATGTCTTGTCTAATATCTTTGTTTCCATCGTTAATTCTAAGACTTAAATACTTTTACCTTTTCTTGCCACTTTGAGCAACACTGGTATACTTACTGGGTGTCATGACTGCTTGGTAGATACAAGACATAGCAATTAAACGATCAAAACACAATTCACAATCACAAGCTTGGAGCAGAGAAGTTGGACTGGACATGTATGAAGTACGAATGTGTTGATGGTGGGGTGATGACGGGGGGGGGGGCCTTTGGAGGTCTCCCCAGCTGAACCACAACAAGGCGGCCGCTTGAGGAAAACGGAGGCTTTTGTTTTTATCTTCCCGCAAACTGAACTGTGTTAAATTCATCATAAGACGTGTTACATAAAATTGTGCCGCAATTCTTCAATCCTGCTATACTCAAATCGTGCAAAATAAACTCGTGCTAAATAACGGTCTACTGTATGTATATATATATATATATATATATATATATATATATATATATATATATATATATATATATATATATATATATATATATATATATGTTGTGTCTAATAGCTAAAACTGGCCAATTAGCAAGAACTCATTTAAAATTAAGTCCTTTCTAAAATTTTCTCTTATACGTTTAAAGATATATTTTTTTCATTAATGTTGATGTAAAAATTTATAATTTTGCACCAAAAGGAACTTAGAAAACTTACCTAACCTTATTATAACAAGCTCAATTTATTTTAGCCTAACCCAACTAAATATATTTTACATTTTCACTTGTCCTATATGGCAAGATGAGCGCTGATATTTAAGCCAAGGTCGCAAGTTCTGCCTATTCGGCACGACATATGTATATATATATATAATATATATATATATATATATATATATATATATATATATATATATATATATATATATATATATATATATATATTATATACATACAGCTAGATCGCGATTAATGTGAATTTTGCGAATTTCGATTTAGTGCGAATTTTTAAATATTACCAGGTCGCACTTAATGCGAGACAATGTCAAATTAATGCGAGTTTTCTCCCAAATTCTTCAAATTGTGCGCAAAAATGGCAATATTTTTATATTGCAGCCCATGAAGAAGAAATCACTGCAAAATTTGAGGCTTACTACCTAAAAAAAAAAATCTGTTAAGGCAGTTGAAGCTCCTGGCGACGATGGAGTTGCCTTAACTAAGTTCAGATTATCCTTGGCAACGAAATAACTAAGTAAGGATCGGCGGTGTGGAACAACACTCAGTCACACTGTGAAAACAACTTCGAACATTTTTATTACAAAATCAATTTGTTATTGAAGAAATAACAAACACTGGAAGTCGTGAAATTATGGATGCTGACGAACAGTTGATCTAAGCATGCAGATTCACCATGATGTTGAAAAGTTCCCTGCACCTAACATGGTGTTCATGATGATTTAAAGAAACAGATGGTGAACATAATGACGATTTCGTCATATCATTAGATACGATATTCATTTTTTTTATTAATTTTTTAAAATTTCCTTTCTGTAGCATTTCTATTGCTTTGTTTGTAATAAACTTGAATTAAAATACATTTTTCTTATCCTTTACAATTATATTACCTTAATAAATAGGTAAAATTACCAATTACCAAATATACGACCACATCACTTGATTCATTATTCGCATTAATCGAGACTAGCTGTGTATACATATACATATATACATTAATATATATATATATATATATATATATATATATATATATAATATATATATATATATATATATATATATATATATATAATATATATATATATAGACACACACACACACACACACACAGAGGATGACTGTCCTGAGGACCGTTATCCTCAGAGAAAAGAAAAAAACTTGCTATAGGGAAAACTGAAGGTTCTCTCTCTCTCTCTCTCTCTCTCTATATATATATATATATATATATATATATATATATATATATATATATATATATATATATATATATATATATATATATATATATATAACATATGTGGTGTAAATTGTGGGACCCATAGCCTCGGAGAAGTGGATAAAAAGGCTTCAAGGAAGAATATTTGGATTTCTTCCTGAAGCCGTTTGAATATTCCACTTCCCCTACTACCCCATCTTTTCATTCTTTTTTACCAATTGGTATATTTTATTACATAATATGATACAAAAGGTTTAAGAGATACATTGCTGATATGAAGATGGCATATACAATACATGAGGTGTGAGAGATACATGTCTAGTGCATATTGTTACACGTTTGTCACTGATTATAATGCGAAAACCATCCAGCTCTTCAGAACTGAAGTGCGTGCCCAAAATACAGCAGGCATTACCCCTCTGAACAGCAGCGCTGAGTCGCTGGAACAGAAAACTAGCTGCCCTGGGATCTCCTTACCCTGATAAGTCTTTTGCCTAGCTCCTTAAGGAACTTAGATGCACTCTCTCCCCATGAGCCAAGGGTCTCTGAGCCTTTGGGAACAAACATAATGATGGGCAAGTTCTCCATAATTTCTAGACTTTTAGGACTCCCTGAAGCTGGCGGCAGACCCTCCTTCCTCCCTGGTGTACTGGAGATAGGTATCAGCCGAGGTAGATGCACATGTGTAATCCCACACCACCTGCTTACTGTCTGTCCAGGCTTGAAGTGTGATACCATCTGGACGCTTCTGGCTGCCATCAGATCTGCATAGTTGGGGTGGCTCCCTTACTACTGGGTATCCGGCTGATGTGAGGCTTCATTTGATAATATTATTAACCTCCTCATGTCTTGCAATGTTTTCCTCGGATTTGCGGCACACAAAACCACGGTACCCGAATCGGTCTGATGCTTCACTGCCACAAATACACCTGTGTTCTGCGAGAATAGGGGCGGCAAGGCAAAGGGCAACACCAATGCGGATGGTCTGTGTGTCGAGCCGTGTGCCAAGGCTGGAGTTGGGAAGAGCCAACAGAAAGTCCCCTGCATAAGGAACTCACACTACCAGGAGGCAGCCCCTATCATTCCCTCATACACTCTGAAGGATTGTTGAGGCTATTTTCTCCACTATCGGGCCATCCCAGTGCGACTGTTTATAGTTGTTGGGGGAAGCAAGTCTGGTTTCAGAGCCCGTTAGATTATCCCAGATCATGGCTCCGTCAATGAACTTTTGGTCCTGGACTCCAATCTTGTCCCTAAGATGTTCAGGGAGAACTGTTGCTACAAACCCTCTGCATGCAATACATGAGGACAGAAAAGCAGGTAGTGCAATCTGTGATGACTTGCGGACACAAATGCCTCCTAGTCTGACTGGAAGTGTAGCTTGGTTCCACTGCATGTCTTCTAGAGTAAGGTTAAGTACTTTCGTAAAACTCTGCCTCAGGATACTGTCATATTCGTTCAGTATAGGGTTATCATATGAAAGTGCACATCTTAGGAAATATGTCAACCTGGGCAGACTCAAGTACTTTGTGAGAAGGTACAAGGCATCGTGGGTGTCAAGATTGCCTATTCGTTGTTCCATTCTCCTCGGTTTTTCCAATTTCTTCTTGAGGATTGTGCCAATGGCATCGCTTCCCAGAGGTGCTCCAAGCAAGACGCTATTTGTAAGGGGCAATGACTGATTCTCCTGGTAGTTTGAATCTCACTACATTTATCACTTGTTGACTGAAATGATTTCACATCTGGATGGATTCAGGATGAGACCCATTTCCTGTCCCTGTGTCATTACTTGTGTAAGGTCACTTAAAAGGGACTCCTTTTACCTGCTATTGTGCCATTGTCCAGG